CAAATATTCGAATGAATAAATAAAACATCAAAAATGCAAAAAAAGTCTCACCATTCTCATAGAAACAATGAGATAATAATTGCTATTAGTCCATAAACTTATTTCTTTCGCAAACCTGTGATATAATTCAGATGTTATGTAACTTGTCTGAGACATGTTTGTCGTGAGGCGACTCGCTGAAATAAATAAGTTTGTTAATTATATCACAACACTTGAAACCGGTCCAGAGTTTGTTTGCTTTAAACAAACAATGCTGCTTTGAAAATATTGGGTCTGGAAAGCCATGGGCATGATAATATTAATATAAAACAAGTATAACCCGTAAAAACAAAGTTTTTCACTATAAATCCTTTATATGCGTGGCGGCTAGAGTCCTCTAGTCCTCTGGCTTGAGATGGCTGCCACCTATGGGTCAGATGATTGCATTGCACCATTAAGCAATTGGTAATTAAATATAAAAAAATTGTCCTAAAAAGTGTAAAATTTAGGAAAAAATTTTCACGAACATTAATTGTCACGCACAACGAGTCTGTGTGGAAAATGTCAGCTCGATTGGATCACGGGAAGTGGGTTAAAAAACGACCGAAAGATTTGCACGGTCGTAAGCAAGCAAGCAAGCACGCAAGCAAGCAAGCAAGTGAACTTAATATAAAGGATTTAAAAATGTACATCTGGAGAAAGAATGGAGTTCGACTCGTGTGCGTTTTTTTGTTGTTTCACCCAGCAACTGTAGCTACGCACTTTTTAAATCGAGAGAAAAAATTCAAATTTCCTCAGAACTGCTTTATGTGTGTTACTTTGTTGTCCTTTCCTCCGATGAGCACGGTCGGCTATGTAAGGTGCGAAAGAAGTTCAACATTGAGAAATCTAAACCTGACCTTCACCAACTAAAAAATTAACCCGTAAAAACAAAGTTTTTCACTCTAAATCCTTTATATGCGTGGCATCGGTTTTATTTTATTATTCATTTCTGTTTTTCTTGAGTAAGAGTTTAATTTTTATGACATTGGTATTTTAAATTAAATATGAAAAAAAAATCCTAAAAGGTGGAAAATTTTTGAAATTTTTTTTCACGAAAATAAATTGTCACGCACAGCGAGTCTGTGTGCAAAATGTCAGCTCGATTGGATCACGGGAAGTGGGTTAAAAAACGACCGAAAGATTTGCACGGTCGTAAGCGCGCAAGCAAGAAAACTTAATATAAGGGATTTAAAAACCGCCACTGATCCCAGGGTGGTGAAGTATGGCCAATAAAACACACCCCCCCCACCCCCCAAGACCGACACATCATGGGGAAGGTGGCCTCCATCCAGTAGTGGATTGACAAAAGCCTTGCACCTTGTTATTGTTTAACGTATTGTTGGAGTTTCAGTACATTGCTGCAAGCAGCACAATAGCGCCGCGGTCTGGCTGCAGTTTTGTATGTATGTTGAACTTCTTTCGCACCGTACGTAGCCAACCGTGCTAACCGGAGGTGCGGCGGCAGAAATATGCATGCCAATGTCGAGGTTTGCAAGTCGCGACGAGAGGGCTTCAGCAGAGCGAGAGATAGAGAAAGTTCGTGTCGTGTTGCTCTTCCTCTTCAGTTGAATGAGCCTGTCTTTAATGTATCCGATGGGTCTCTGTGTATCTCCATGGGTCTCTATGCGTCTCTGTATCTCGACGGGTTTCCTATATGGCCCATGGTTTGGACTGCATGGCCACAATCACACCGACAGAGACTTGCCTTTTAATTTCCCATTCATGACGGAGATGCGAACATCGGGGGCCTGTTGTTGACGTTCTTTGCGGTTGATGGTTAACGCCATTTATTGTAGGAATTGCATTGCTCTATCCCAGTGGTCTTCATTGCAAGGCCCGCGGGCCACTGGCGGTCCCTGGTGGCCTTTAGTGCGGCCCCTGACGAGCGGCCCCCGAAACTACACAAATGTGAGAACATCTCCCATCATCGCCGTGCTGTCAACCCCCCCCCCCCCCCCCCCCCCAATGGTTTCAAATGGTGTGGCGGCCCTCACACTGATGATATCTTATCGGCGAAAGTGCCATCCCACACCCCCCTCTCAAGTTCATTTCAAGTTCATTTTATTAGGTATAGCCCTGTGAGCCATTCGGCTCTTGAATCGGGTGCAACCGCAACAAACAAAAACATGAACAAAAACATCTTAAAGTGAATATGTGACTAAGTGCAAACAGAAAATCCAAGAAAAGACAGAAAAATATTGCAGAAAAAACACCGTACACCAACGCTATGCAAAAATCCCAGTGGGATGCAAGTCAAACAACATTAACAACCACAAGACAACTTAGATTAAGGCCATCAGTCTTACCCCGTACCGCTCTCTGAAAGTGAGTGAATAACGCAGCTTTAGCCACTCCACTGCTGTATGAGGGCCCTCCCCTTGGCCGTGCGGGTTTGACCAGTGCGACCGGGCCTGTTGTTGACGTTCGTGACTTTACCGAAAAACCTAAGAGTATGAATCCTTGCAGTCACGAAAGCTTCAAATCTACAATCAGTGCGACCAAGTCTACGCTCCCCGCATTCACCCGGCAGCATAGAAGCAGGCACGCGGTACGTGTGATGGGATTTTGCTGCACTACTCAAGAGCAGCCAGACGCAGCACGTGCTGTATGATGCACAGCGGGCACCCGTCTAGAAGCACCTTTCAGGTGCACATTTCTGCTTAGCTTGAGGTCGGGTCCATCCCAGGGTGAGCTACTCGGTAAGAAAAATTACATGTAACGTTGGTATAAAGTTGCGCCTACTGTTCCAACTACGCATGCCAAGGTTGGCATGCTTACAAGGCATGCGTACTCGGAACCCAGATTTCAGTGAGGAGGGCCCTTGTCTAAACGTACCTGGTGGTTCGTCAGCATTGGTTCAAGCAAAAACGCAGAACCTGCTGCTGACGAGACGATGCCATAGCCGGTCTAGAGTTTCGCTCGCACTGAAGCTATGCTGCATGTTGAACTTCTTTCGCACCGTACGTGGCCAACCGTGCTAATCGGTAGTCCCACGGCAGGGGCGGGGGGACAATGGGTTGTGTGGGAAATACGTTCTTGATATATTTACGCGACCAGACGGATACGTGCGACACATTGTCTCTCGTTCATTGCGTTAAATATTGACTTAAAGCTTTCGTGACTGCAGGAATTCATATTCTTGGGTCTTTCGGTAAAGCCACGGAGATAGATACAAATGTATTTTATTATATGATCTAGCTACGTGGCTTTAGGGGCCGTCCATAAATGACGTCACGCACCTGGGGGGGGGGGGTCAGACATTTGTGACGATGTGTGACGAGGGTGGGGGGGGTTTGACAAATGTGACGTCACATCAAAATGCGCAACTTTAAATAAATATAGACGACACGTTCTACTTAATTAAATAGACTTTTTAATAAATGTTTTCTCCTACAACATCAGAGTGCAGCGCCACATTAAATACGCACTACAATGACAATAGTTTAAAGCGATTTGAAGCATGTTTTATTTTGGGGGGGGGGGCAGAGCTTTGTGACGTCATATTTGAGGAGGGGGGGTCTGATTATTTGTGACGCCGTGTGACGAGGGGGGGGGGGGGTCAAAAATCGTCCAAAATCGCGCGACGTCATTTGTGGACGGCCCCTAAAGATCAAAAAATAAAAATAATATATTTTTTTATTTGATCTATCTACGTGGCTTTACCGAAAGACCCAAGAATATGTTAATTGCGTTGCTTAACAATCTCCACAACACGAGTGGTCAATTTATAACGCACATCTGTCAACCCATACGGGTTTCCCGTATTCTTGTGGAGGGAGATTGAATGTTCAGGTCCATACGGCGTACAGCCGTTTCAATCCGGGAAAACAAATCTCTGTCTATTTATACTCTTAGGTTTTTTCGGTAAAGTCACGTAGGTAAAAAATGAAAAATAATAGAAATAATAATAGAAATAAAATATTATTTAAAAGAGATTTTTTTATTTTATTTTTTTATTTCTATTTTTTTTCTTTTTTTATCTACGTGACTTTACCGAAAAAACCTAAGAGTATGAATCCTTGCAGTCACGAAAGCTTCAAATCTAGAATCTGTCTATTTGTTTGTGATGGGATTTTGTAGGATGAACGTTGAGATTTATAAGGGCACGCTGAGCCAACAAGATAAGTAATAAGGTAGGGTTGCCAGGTATGATCACGTGGTTGATTGTTGTGCTGTGAAGAAGGTGCGATTGCCCGAAACGTCGGCAATTTAACATCGCAAGGCTGGTTGTTGTGTTGCTGCGGTTAATTCTAGATTTGAAAGCTTTCGTGACTGCAATAATTCATACTCTAAGGTTTTATCGGTAAAGTCACGTAGGTAAAAATAAATCAATAGAAATAATATTATTATTTCTATTATAAAAATAATAGAAATAATATTATTATTTCTATAAAAAATAATAGAAATAATAAAATAATAGAAATAATCTTTTTATTTCTATTATTATAATATTATTATTTATATTATTTAATGCTGCGGTTACTCTCCCAGCATTACCACGGGACGCCAATTCACATCACTCAGTGGTGTATATAGGAATCGAACACATCGATTCGACCCCTCGATTCAACACGCGTCGTTATTCTCTCACTAACACGTAAGAATCGAACACCTTACGATTCACTAGAGCATCGATTCCACTCGTGTACTGACTACGGGAATCGATCGCCTTCCTTAAATCAGTATCGATTTACTTCAGCATCGCACGAGTTTTTTCTTGTCGCTGTTTAAATATTGTAATTATCCTTACCAAATACTCGCGCCAAACATCGCCTAACATTTATTTATAAACTTAACAAAAAACGCATCGAGTCTTTATTTATTTTTCGTAAACGCAAACGCGACCGGAAGTCGAGGCGCTCGAGGCGCTCGACTTCCGGTCGCGGCATCGTCTGGGCCGCGCGTCCTCAACTCCGCCTGCTTCTCTCCGCGCGATAAACTCATTTCTTTTCATTTTTTACTCCCATTTCATTTCATCACACGACTCGCAACGTCAACACGATGTATTCATTCGTGTGCTGAAGTTGTTGGGGTGGGTGGGTGGGTGGGGGGATAGCTGCCCGCGTTTGAGGTAAGTCTTGGTGTGGTGATGGTTTACACTGGTCTAATTCAATGGAACTGCGTTTTAAATAATGAGGTTTACGACGGACTTGGTAATGCATTCAGCAATGTACCGATAATAATCACCCCTAACCCTATTGCAGTGTTTATGTAGGCATGTGCGTGTGTGTGTGTATTGGACAATCGGTTGAACTTTGTGAGCGGACCCACCTGATGACGATTTCTTGTGTTGCGATCGAAACGTCGTGATCGGTTGATTTTCTACCTACGTGACTTTACCGAAACAACCAAAGAGTATGTGTGGATTCCTGCAGTCACGAAAGCTTCAAATCTAGATTGAGTACGGACCCGCTTGCTGTAATGCGGAATTTCCACTGCTAGACATTGTTATCAAATGCTGTTGTAGTAATTATAAGAACCGTGCATTGTACATGTGTATACAGCCCTTTCTGTCAATCCACTGCTGGATAATGGCCTGCCCCACACCATGTGGTTATTTGACCATACCGCACCACGCTGGTCAGTGTGTGAAGGTGTGGGGAGCATAGACGTGGGAGAAGAGTACACTCCAACGCAATTTTTTTCTGCACTACCTTCTGTTGACAACGTCGCCCCGCATCATCCTATAACACTGGGCATCTGTGTCCAGTAACAACTATTTCGTGTGAGCCCACAGCGTTAAAACAATGGTCAGCCACGGCCGAGGTATTGGTCCTACCGTGTTTCAGATCTGCCTTGTGTTCACGAACACGGCCCCGAGACATGTCGTGTAGTTCCCCAATGTAACTACTGCCGCAGACACAACTTAGTTTATCTTCTTGGTTCTTTCGGTAAAGTCACGAAGAAGGATAATAATAAAATAATAAAAATAAAACATAATAAAATAATTCTCACGACGTTTCGGCCACAACGCAAGCAGCTTTAAATCGAAATACAACTTAGTTTGTAGACACCGGGGTATTGCATGTCAGGGATCACATCATTCACAGATGGGATCAGATCACGAATTTTACGTACTGTGTTGAATCGAACCTGGATCTTGTGTTTGTTAATGATTTTGGAAATATTTTGGTGACCCCTGCTATGTATGGCAAGGTGATGGTTTTGATTGGGTCCTCAGATGGTTCTCTCCCCACGGTTTGGGTGACAGCTTTGCGGATTGTGCGGTCCAAATATCCATTCATCTTGAGGGCTTGGTGTACGTGCCCCAGTTCATTGGCTAGGTGGTGCTGGTCGGAGATGCATCAAGCCCTATGGTGTGTCGGGTTTTGATGAGGGAATTTTTCTGGGCTGGATGGTGGTGGGAGTCAGGTTTTAGATGGGTGGCTTTCCTGTAGACAGCGTCCCAATGAGCCATCTGGTCTCTTTTCGATTAACGTACAAGAATGGTAACTTACCATCCTTTTCCACTTCCATGGTGAATTTGATGGCTTGAGTGTATGGAATTTATGTAGTTGGTTCAGTGCTAGCAGGTCATGTGGCCAGATGATGAACGTGTCATCTACGTATCTCTTCCACAAGGAAGGACGTAGGGTGGATGCCTGGATGGCATCTGTCTCAAATTTTTCCATGAAAACATTGGCTACCACTGGCGATAAGGGAGAACCCATTGGGGTACCTTCATCTTGTTTGTAGAATGTACCATTCCAGGTGAAGTAAGTGTTGGTAAGGCAGTGTCTCACCAGGGTTGGTACATCAGCATTCATTCCTTTTTGGACCAAATCTTCAATGATTGCAATGGTGTCAGGTACCAAAACTTTGGTGAACAGAGAGACCATTTCAAAAACTAACAAGCAAATCACCTGGAGATAGTGAGATTCTAGATTTGAAGTTTTCGTGACTGCAAGGATCCATACTCTTTGGTTCTTTCGGTAAAGCCACGTAGGTGAAAAAAAAAAGTAAATTAAATCACGACGTTTCGATTGCAACACAAGCAATCATCATCAGGTGTGAAAACCACAACAACATTTTTTTTTAGATAGTGAGATGTCTTTAATTAGAGAAACCAAGTGAGCTGAATTAAGTACAGCTGAGGTAGTCTTGCCAGTGAATGGAATCAAGGTCTCAGGAAGACCATCTCAAGCCCTGCCCTCTTACCCTGAAGCTGCACCCATCTCAGGCCTATATAAGACCATGTTTCAGTAGCTTTCTCTCTCTCACCTGAAGACGATTGCTTGTGTTGTGATCGAAACGTCATGATCTATTTTTTTTCTATCTACTTGACTTCACCGAAAGACCCAAAGAGTATCAATTCCTGCAGTCACGAAAGCTTTAAATCAAGATTTATTGAGTGGTGGTGAACAAAAATATGAAAGTGACTCAAAACTGTTACGTTAGCACGGTTGGCTACACACGGTGCAAAAGGAAGTTCAACATACACACCACACCTCGCTCTGCCCATCCTTTTCTGTCACGCCAGACCTGCCCTCGCGAGTCCATCGTGAGCGATCGGAGAGAAGCCATGGCTGCCGTATTCGCGGCGCCTGTGCCGAGCGTGCTGGACCAGGCAGCGCTCGTCAAGAAATGTCTCCAGCAGGCGTACTCGCTCACCGACAGCAACACCCGTGAGTGTGCGGGAGGGCGCAAGAGGAGGGGGCATCATTGGCATAGAAGCAGGATGATGAAAAACTTTTCTCTTGAGCCCAAAAAAAAATTCACACGTTGTGTATTTGTTTGTAATTGTGCGTAACACGTATTCACGTTTGTTCATGTACACGTGTGTTGTTTATATGGTTTGTTTTTTAATGTTGCACACGTGTGAACGGGCGGTGGAAGCTAAACTGATAAGATCTGACTGCTTCTAAACTCGCAAAGAGTTTTTCACCAAACTTATGAGACGACTAGTGATGAAAACTATTCCGACACCCTGTGTTGTTTTTCTTGCAGCCGATGAGGCGAAGTTGAAGGCTATGCAAGAAGTCAGTGAAAACTTTGAGGTAAGTGTTAATGTTAACCTTCATAGCATGAGTCCGAATTGAATTATTCCAGAACATGAGTGAGGGACAGCATAGGATCTCAGTGGTGCCGACTGAGGTGATCTGACAAGGTATTAGGTCACTAAGCCACCTGGCGATTTTCAAGGCAAATGTTTGTATTCACCAAAATGAATACAAACATTTGGTATTTCCATTCATGGGGGGAAGGAGGAGGGGGTTGGTGTTGTCTGCCTTCGTAGTCATTTTTCTCTGCTCATTTCTCTCCTGGGCCATCATCTGCAAATCCACTCCCACGGTCCTTCATGGCTTGGTTCACCACCTCTTTCTGTGCATGTCTCTCAAGCCTCTGCCCTAGTGCACCCATGTCTATCATCTTTCTTCTAATTTGGATTGCCTCTATTGTTATCTTTTTAAAAGTACGGTACGTTATTTCCTCGTTTACGCTTTCCTGAAAAGTGCCCACGTTAAGCCAAAATGCTTAAAGCAAAACACTGTTTCCCCATAAGAAGTAATGCAAAAAGTCGGGGTTGTGTTCCTTTTGAAAAAAATATGTGGAATCTGGTCAGCAGACGGGAACTGTGTAAAATTTCGATTTAAAGCTTTCGTGACTGCAGGGATTCATCTTCTTGGTTCTTTCGGTAAAGTCACGTAGAAGGGAAATAATAAAATAATAAAAAGAAAACATAATAAAATTATTTTCACGACGTTTCGGCCACAACGCAAGCAGCCGTCCTCAGGTGAAGAACAGGTCTGTCGGAAAGACAGCGTCTGTCTTTCCGACAGACCTGTTCTTCACCTGAGGGGACAGCTGCTTGCGTTGTGGCCGAAACGTTGTGAGAATTATTTTATTATGTTTTATTTTTTTATTATTTCCCTTCTACGTGACTTTACCAAATGAACCAAGAAGAGGAACTGTGTATTCATATTGTCTTATTAAAATATCAAAGAACGACCTCCACGGCAGCCGGTCGACACAGCCTCGCCATGGCTGTTGGTGCAGCGCTGAGCCCAGAGCCCTGCATCCCCCCCCCCCATCTTTATACTCTAACCAGATCCACCTCTCCTCTTAATCACACACTCTCTGTGTTGTATTGCATTATATTTTATTATATTTCTAAGTTTTCTAGGTTTGTTTTCTCTTTCATTTGTAGCTGATGATGATTGCTTGCGTTGCAATCGAAACGTCGTATGCTATTATTTAATTTATTTTTCTTTCTTGCGTGACTTTACCGAAAGACCCAAAGAATAACTCCTCACCCCCATGGCTTTGTGGTGTAAGCAATCAATAGAGAATGATATTATAACAACGGAATACCCAGCTACTAATCAGCGCTATAAGCTGGAGTGCATACATTACCACTCGTGTTTTTAACAAGCATTTATAATCTTAATGCCTGTGCGTGTGTTTGGGCCTCATTACACATGCTATGTGAGTTGAGGGATAGGGGGGGGGGGAAGAAAGGATAGAAATAGTATATGTAAAATTTTTTTGAAAATTATTATATATGCAACAAAATTCCATTTAGCTGAGGTGATGGTGGTTGTTGCTTGTTGTGGTGTTGGGTAGGGGGTGGAGGGGCGCTATGGGTACACCGTGTACTGTATCATTCCGCGTATATACAGTACCAAGAATTCCTATACAGCTGGGCCGTGCAACTCACGAAAGTAGTTAGTCATCGACCGCTCAGTAAGCGCCTTATAATGGTGCATGTCCTGCGTTGTGCGAAAAGTGCCTCCTCGTATAAGAACCGCGCCATAGCGGGGAAACGCGTTGTGTGTGAGCACGCGTTAGGCGAGGGCTTGCTCTGAAAAGTCTGTCTTCCTTGTGCTCCCACGTGTTTGCACGCAGAATGTCACGACGTCGCCACAGTACCCATTCTTCCTGGAGCACGTGATCCCACGCTTCCTCACCTTCCTGCAGGATGGGGAGGTGCAGCACCTGCAGGAGAGACCTCTCCAGGTGAGCAACCCAGGTGTTCTCCCACTCCGATTAAGCGAACACCTATTCGTGAAGACGGAACGATTCATCGTTGGAAGTTGTTTCTCACGCTCGCTTGCGCTCACGGATACACGCGTTGAATCATGCGTGCAGGGTTATTTATTTACAATATGTATTATTATATAAAGAGGAAAAGCTATGTTATCCAGCACTTTACTATCTGGAATGCTCTCTTAACCGACAGCTTCTTGCTGTGCGCTTCTCATCGATCTGTTGATTACGGGAGCTTTAGGACGGTGCCGTGTGGTGTCGCTAGCGGCAGCCTCAATTGTAAACACCGGCCATCCACCATTGATCATATTGTGATTGTGCTGTACAGTATCATGACTTTGTAGACTATACTCTAAACTGCCCCACTGCTTCTCTACAATCAACTTAGAATGGTCTGCAACTGACTGGTGACTACCTCTGTTAAAATAGTATGCTATTTTTTGTATCTTCGTAAAAATGTGGACTTGGTTTTTTTAGTCTTGAAAAGTTAATGAACTTGGAAAATTTGGTGAACCATAAGTATAACTCTCAGATATTTGATTAACTGGCACCCAAAAGCCAAATAACAGAGCATTTACTGTACATTGGTGCCATAGTGTAATGGTTAGTGTACTGGCCTTGCAATCCAGATCGCCTTTCAATTCTATTTCCCTGCAAGGCAGTTGAAACAATAGCAAATCCCACCTCTGTCTACCCAGGTAGTATAAATGGGTACACCCTATACTCATTGGTTCTTTCGGTAAAGTCACGTAGGTAGAAAAAAATAATAGATCACGACGTTTCGATGGCCACAAAAGCAATCGTCTTCGGGTGGGAGAGCGAAACCAGAGTATGGAAGAGTATGGATTCCTGCAGTCACGAAAGCTTCAAATCAAGAGGGTACACCTTTCTGTGGATTTCACACCTGATGATGATTGCTTGTGTTGCAGTCGAAACGTCGTGAGAATTTTTATTGTTTTATATTCCTATAATTTTATTATTTCCCTTCTACATGACTTTACCGAAAGAACCAAGCATATAGGGTACACCCTAGTTAATCGATTGGTAGGTCTGGTATACCGATGGGAAGTGTGGGTGGGCTATCCCACCTCTCAAAAGATGTCTGGCGAGCATGGTAGAGGAGGCAACATACCCTCTAGAGGAGGCTCTCTATAGAGCCTCCTCTAGTGTGGGTCAAGCAATTGTAGGGTTTGCAGCTTGGTTAGTTTTAACGAGGCCTTTTCTGCCTGCCACGGGAGATATTGTTTAGTAGTCGTGAGGTGGCAGCTCAGAGCACAGTGGGTGTCGCGACGTCAGTGGAGCACGGGGGGAGACGTTTGAAGAGATCAGAATACGTTGACGGGGTCCTGTGAATCATTCAGCTTTGCTCTCAGCTTGACTGTGCCTTCCCCATGCCGTGGGTATGGAGGAGCGGTGATGGTCAGCAGCTTTAGCCGCATAGGCGTGGGTCACGGGGTCGGCGAATTTCAAATTGAAAGCAGGGCGCTGGTGGCTATGGTGCGCATGGCCTGTAATCACGCAGGGTTGGTGAATCACACATTTTCATGAAACCTCTCTTCCACCCCGTGGGCGATGAGGTAGCCATCTCCTGGCTTGCCCGCGTACGCAGTACAGCAACTGGGTTAATTGCCATCTGCACGGGGATTGAGTGTTCCTAGCACGCGTGGGTTTTCTCTGATACAGTAAAGCCTTGGCTAGCCGGACTAATAGCGGGGAGCCCTGGCTCAGTTAGCTGAAAAGTCCATCAATATTAGTTGAGTGAAGCTATATCATCCTTCCTGGTGCGTTACGAGCATTTTTAAACCATCGACTTTTGCTCACTTTTGCTCCGACAGCAACTGCGAAAGCTAGTGTTGGAGATCGTCCACCGCATCCCGACCAACGAACACCTGCGCATCCACGCGAAGAATATCCTGTCGCTGATGTTCCGCTTCCTGGAGGTGAGAGGAGTGGCGGACGTTGTGTCACGGTCCCATCTTGGAATTTTGTTCCATGACGTTCTCCCCGTTCCTCTCATGCACGCAGTTGCTTTGACTGAAAATTCGACATTCATGTCTCTCGTGTGTTATCATCGCTGTGGTGTTCTCCGTCACGAATGGTCGGCGATCTACCCGGCTGTGTTGACACGCGTGTTACTTTCATTGCTTCATTGTACCGTAATAAATTGTGTTTTGTATGTATGTATGTTGAACTTCTTTCGCACCGCACGTAGCCAACCGTGCTCATGGGAGGTGCGATGCCTTGTCCTGCATCACACTCCATGCTGTTGAACTTTGCTCTCCTGTGCCAATGATGAACTCTGGAAATTCATCAGTGCCCGTTTCACACCTCTCGATGCTAAATTACTATAAAAAAAAAATTATGCACCATAAATAAGGGCCTTTTCCTGAAACCTTAACTGTTATTTATATGGCCACAATGTTATTTATGAATGTGGTTTTCATTCTAAATGTATGTTGAGTTTGCTTCAAATGGTCTACAAAAGAGAGCATAAAACATTTCAATCACAAGTGTAAAGAGGGGATTTTTTTTTCTTATTTCCTCTGCCCATCTGAAGCACCTCCGATTAGCACGGTTGACTACGTACGGTGCGAAAGAAGTTCAGCATGCATACACACATACACTGATAATGTGGATTTTCAATGTCGGAGAAAACTTTTGACCGTAAACTTAGCGCGGTATGAAAACAATCGTTGTCCTTAACGTCCGTCTCGGTTGTGCCCACCCTCGATTTGCGTTTTCGTCGGTGCTCACGTTGGCGGTTGCCCTCTTGCAGGTGGAGAACGAGGAAAACGTGCTCATCTGCCTGCGAGTCATCATTGAGCTTCACAAACAGTTCCGGCCGCAGATCACGCAGGAGGTCAGTTTGCATGCGATTGTTTTCATATTCTTGGTTCTTTCGGTAAAGTCACGTAGAAGGGAAACAATAAAATAATAAAAATATAAAACAATAACATTCTCACGACGTTTCGACTGCAACACTGATGTTGGCTGTGATGATGATGATTGCTTGTGTTGCAGTCGAAACGTCGTGAGAATTTTATTTTTAATATTTTTATTATTTTATTGTTTCCCTTCTACGTGACTTTACCGAAAGAACCAAGAATATGAATCCCTGCAGTCACGAAAGCTTTAAATCAAAAATTGAGATTGTTTTCGTTACGTCTTGCCCGCTTACTGTCGCTTTGTACGCTCGGCGGCGTCTGCACGTGCAGGCGCTTTGTCAATGCGCTGCCGAACGAAGGTTCTCCACGCATCTGTTGCGGCTCGTTATTTGACCATACTTCACCACGCTGGTCAGTGGGAGTTGGTGTAAGCGGAGAGCCAAGACGTGGACACATTCTGATCTTTTTTTCGTAAGCGCTTTGTCTTGTATGATGTTTGTTTCATGATTTTGTCTCTAATCATCCCTTGGACAGATTCACCATTTCCTGGACTTTGTGAAGCAAATCTACAAGGATCTTCCCAAAGTAGTGGTAAGTGTTCGTGACTAGTGGAGGTTTAAGGCACAAATGGCACATGTCAGGTCATACCGCAGCCCTTTTATCCATAAGCATATATGGGAGAAGTGGTGAATATGTGTTGTGTATATATGTGGGGAGCGGTAGTGTAGCGGTTAGCGCGCTTCACTACGAACCTGGCGCACTGAGTTCGATTCCCGCTCACAGCCAACACCAGTGACGATTATCTGAACCGGTCCTGGGCCTCCCCTAAGTCGACTCAGCCTCAAATGAGTACCTGGTGCGATGTGTAAACATTACCACTATGGAGACGAAGGCAGCCTGGCGTGGTGTTGGCCACCCACCCCCTCGTGTGCCATTCTGACCTTCATAGGTGCTCGAAAACAGCACTTGTGTGTGTGTATTTCTGTGAAGCAGTGGTAGTAGAGTGGTTTGACATGAGATCGGAGGAGCATATTGACTGACGGCTGGCCGCAAGTCGATTGTTTATTGCTTGTTTATTGCTCCTGCGTTGTAAACGAACACCAATCTCTTCACCCTGCAGAACCGCTACTTCGAGAACCCTCAGCCAATCCCGGACAATGCTCCCTTGTCTCAGGAGATGGTTGGGATGGTGACGGCAGTGCAAGTGAAGGTCAACCCAGAGCGAGAGGACAGCGAGACCAGGACGGTGAGTGTGGCGCTCGCTTGTAACCATCCAGCCACTACTACTAAGGGTGTCACAGTGCCTGGATGTTAACTACCTCGCCTGGTATACAGGAGGTAGTGGGTTTGCGGGTTCGATTCCGACCCTGACGCCTGTATATATTTTGAGTTTATATGTTCTCCCCGTGGTCACGTGGTTTTCTTCTCCGAGTCCCCCGGTTTTTCCCTCCACATTTAGAATCAATATTTGGCCGCTGTAAATTTCCACTTGATAAGCCACTTCGTTGAGCTGTCATTTGTGGACAAGTCACTTCTGAAAAATAACCGTATAGCTCAGTGGGCCTTACCTGGTAAAATAAAAAATAGTTTCAATAGTTTAGTTTACTGGCCCTCTCTTTGACCCTAACCCTCCCACTAACCCTAATGAGCTAGCTAACTAACCACTAGCACTAGCCCTCTAGCTGACCTCAACACCTCCACTAACCCTAACTAACTCGCTGGCCAGCCACTAGTACTAGCCCTCTTGCTGAACTTAACGCTAACCAATTAATTATAGATTTGAAGTTTTCGTGACTGCAAGGATTAGTTCTTTCGGTAAAGTCACGTAGGTGAAAATAAAAAATAAAAATAGAAATAACTAAATTAAATCACGACGTTTCGGAGGCAACACAAGCTTCTGTCATCAGGTGGGACAACCACAGCAAAAAACAGAATTACTGTAGTGGGCAGAGAGAGCTGTATGTGACAAGTGATTATATAGGGTAAGATTGGGGGAGGAGCCAGGGATGCAGGCGGGGGGCCGGCGTGTGGAGTCGGGGGCGGGGGTTAAGCTGTAGTCGTTATTTTCTGTCGCCCCGAGGCAATTAGGATATTACCATATTAATAACATCCTTCTAACAAACTAGCCAGCCAGCTGCTAGTTCCTAACGCTATCACTCTGCATGATGTTGTAGAGTGACGGTGTTAGTACCTGAAGAACTCTGCGCTACTCAATGGGGAGGCATGTCGGCTTGTTTGTATTCTAAAGCCTGTAACTGGTTCATAATAATGCATACATCTCCAAACGTGCATTTAGAGCGTGTGCATTTGAGACCTGCATTATGCGCTGTGTGTTAAAAAGTAATGATGATGACGTTTCGATACAGAGATTCTCATTTCGTGATGCTGATTTTGCGATGTTAATCGATATTTATCTTCGTCCGTGATGTGCAGCACACGCTCATCCCGAAGGGCACTCTCTCACTCAAAGTCCTGGCAGAACTCCCCATCATCGTCGTGTTAATGTACCAGGTAATGAATCACCTGTGTTTGAAGTATCCAGTATAGTGGGGAGCGGTAGTGTAGCGGTTAATACGCTGCACTTTGAAACTGGTGGCCCGAGTTCGATTGCCAACACCAGTGATGATTATCTGAACATGTTATGCACCTCCCCTAGGTCTACTCAACCTCAAATGATTACCTGGTGTGTTAAAACATCGCCACCGGGGAGACAAAAGTGACCGGCTGGGCATGCTGCTACCCCCCCTCTTGTGATATGCCAGCTTTCATAGGTGCTCGCTAACAGCACTTGCCCTAACAGTCTGTTAAGGCTATACGGGAGATTTTTGTCTTTAATATATTGTACGAATAGTGGGGACGAGAGTGGGTCGGACTGTTTTTGTAAAGGTGAACGTGGTTATGAAAAGTAAGCTCAACGATGTGGCCTAAAGAAGAACTTGTTCAATGAGCGTGTGTTACTGTTACTTGCTCTGACAAATAGATCAGAAACAATCATGGTCGTTGATGAAACATACGGAACGAAAACTGAAAAGCGTGGAAAAATGCGTGTTGGGACTTAAAAAGCGTCGTCTCCCTACTGGGGTCGGTGAGAGTAAGCTCTGTCACGGTTTGGCAGCATTAACGACACTGGCTGTGATGACCCCTTGACCTACACCTTGACAATTGTGTGTTCTCTCCGTTGCAGCTGTACAAGCAGAGCATCCACAATGTGGTCGCGGAGTTCATCCCTCTCATCATGAGCACCATCACCCTGCAAGTGTCTCCGCAGGCCAAGTATGCCGCACGCATGCTCACAACATGCTGCTGCTGCTACTGATAACGATGTTGCTTCTGATGTTGCTGATGCTGCTGATGCTGTTGCTGCTGTTGCTATAATAATACTGACGTTGATTTTGACATCGCTGTTGCTAATTTCATGTTGCTGCACCCTGCCGATGTTGCTGTTGCTAATGTTTTTCTGCTGCTGCTGATGTTGCTTCTAATGTAGCTATTGCTGTTGCTGCCAACACTGATGTCGCTGATGCTAATATTGCCGCGAGCTATGTCACCGCCAATGGTATTGCTGTTACCGTCGTGATTGCTGTTGCTGTTGTCGCTACTAGAAGTGCTGCTAAAACGCATGCGGCAGTCCGTAACCATGTCACCAGATTGAACAGCGGAGCTGCGGGCAAATGAGGCATCCACTCATTCCTTATTTATTAGTGGGAGTAACAATGGAAGGTGATGTCACGACAAGCAAGGGGCCCTGGAGAGAGAGTGGAGTTCTGAAGGCGCACGCACTCACCAGCCTGCGTGCGTGTGTGCATGCGTCGTGCGCTCGCTGTGTTTGTCATGGTTTGTCTACTAATGAGAGCTTTGCTTACGGTTGACATAATTAAGGTCTCGCTCCGATGGAAAAAATACGAGGGGGCAGTAGTAATCTTTTGAAAGTGAGTGAAATGCATCTGCGTTGACCTAACGTTACGCATATTTATAAAAACTGTACACTGAACGTGACAATTTTCCAAATGAAGCAATCACATTTTTTTATGTTGAACCCCCATTTGATGTTATATGAAAGTGTTATCCGCATTATATCACAGAATTCAATACGAGAGTAATAATTCGCTATTACAGTACAACAATAATGAAGAAAAATGCTTGACCCAGTGATGTCCCTTCATGACGTTATTATAAATTCTGTGCTGTGTACAATCATTAAATGGGAGGTGCGGTGGTGCAGTGGTTCGTATGCTGCGCTTGGAAACCGAAGAGCCGAGTTCGCTCTCTTTTAATGGCTATCCTCAGTGGCAAGTATCTGAAACTCCTATATATAAGCTCCTATATATAAGCTCCTAGCTTGGCAGTGTCTCATTCTTCACCTGAAGACGGCTGCTTGCGTTGTAGCCGAAACGTCGTGAGAATTATTTTATTGTGTTTTATTTTTATTATTTTATTACTTCCCTTCTACGTGACTTTACCGAAAGAACCAAGAAGATGAATCCCTGCAGTCACGAAAGCTTTAAATCGAAATTCAGTGTGGTGAAGTATGGTCAAAACAACCCCCCAGTGTGAGGAGGACTTGACTCACCAGTGGATTGGCAGGAATGAACATGAGAATATTTCTACATGGGTTATGTTATCAATGATATTTATATACAAACCCTGTGTGTTATTTCTTACGTATGTGTGTTTTGTGGCTTATTGAAATTTGTTGGACTGTACACCGCTCTGAAACCTCTTTGTGGTCTATTGCACTTTATAAATCTTTAAAATACAGCAATAGCAATTGTGAGCGAGTTTGTAAGGAAAGCCGATGGCTGCTTATTCTGCTTTGCTTGCAAAATCCTACGAAGTTTGTGGTCGTGGTGTCTTTATTTTGTTTTAACCAGGCGACAACTCGCAAGAGTCTTGCGTCAGAATAAGCCTCTCATTTGCAAGAGTGACCAGGGTCACCAAAAATGACAAAAGCTAAAATAAATAAATAAAAATCCAGCAATGACGCTCAGAAATCGGTGCAAAAAAACAACCGCATCAAATGAAACGTCGCAAATATTGCAATTGTTAAAGCGGTTAAATCCCACAACAAAACAAGAGGCTCCCTCAATTGCTTGGCTTGCCAGCTTGCTGCGTCATGCTCCGCTCTCGGTAATAGTACGCTCCGTTCTGTCCAACACAGTGGATGATTTGGCTTGCGCTGGGGCGTACAGGTTGTATCAGCTGTGACTCCTGCGTCAGAGCACCGACAAAAGACACTCATTCTTTCATCTTTCTTTCGCCCTTGTTCCAGGCAAAACAAGCTGTTCAACAAGGAGCTGTACGCCGACTTCATTGCGGCTCAGATCAAAACGCTGTCCTTCTTGGCTTACATTATCCGAGTCTATCAGGTACGGGACCTGGTGCTCGCTGAGCTTTAGGACAAAGGAAGTGTGGTGTACTTTTACTCGGGCGTAAACAAGGGTTTATATTGACCGGCCGTGTTCCTTGCTGGAAAATAATTGGGTGTGCCAAGGTTTGTTAGTTATTTATGTTTTACGTTCGCTTGCAGCTCGTGTGTTTTTGAGTGCAAGCACAAAGGCCCACAAGGCCAAGCGGACAGCAACAACAATTCCCACAACCGCATCTGCCAATTATGAAGATGCTTTGGTGCAGTTTAAAATGAAGTCTGAATGCTGTATTTGGTTGCAAAAATTTTTTTCCACTTATTGGTGAGCAAGCTGAAACGATAATATATTGTCTTCTTGGTTTTTTCGGTAAAGTCACGTAGAAGGGAAGTAATAAAATAATAAAAATAAAACATAATAAAATAATATTTTTTTTATTATTTTATTACTTCCCTTCTACGTGACTTTACCGAAAAAACCAAGAAGATGAATCCCTGCAGTCACGAAAGCTTTAAATCGATAATATATTGGCGTGTTATTAAACGCTTGTACACGTAATAATTTTAATTTGTTTGGCTGTGTCGGGCAGTGGAGGGTCTGAACGACACAAATTTTGGCCAGATCATCGCGTGGCCGAACCCGGAAATCGAATTACGCTTCGTAATCATTGGCTGCGGAAACATCGGTGTCGCCGTTCACACATCGTCGCCGTCACGCTTTTACGCCAACACAAACGCGTGTCTCCTCTCCTCTCCCTCCCTCTCGTGCAAACACAGGAGCTGGTGAGTAAGTACTCGCAGCAGATGGTGAAGGGGATGCTGCAGCTGCTCGCTGGCTGCCCACCCGAGACGGCTCACCTGCGCAAAGAGCTCCTCATCGCCGCCAAGCACATCCTCACCACGGACCTGCGCAACCGTACGTGGCAGAGGAAGCCCGTTGAAAGCGCACCGCGCGATGCAACGCTTTGGCTCGCGTTGGTTTGGCGCGTCAATTCCGTCGTTGCACCGTATTACGCTCACACGTCCTACGCGTCCCCGCTTTCATCCACCCGGCACGGTGACGTGGAGCCAACAGATAACCCCCCCCTCTCCCCCCAACGAGCCGCAAGGGTGTAAGAGGAGGCCCTCATCCAGTAGTGGATTCACGAAAGGAGCTTCAATTGTACGCAGCTAAGGACGTTGGAACTACGCAGCAAGCGCCGTTTGAGTTGTGTGCAATCGAATGATGAAGCAGTGAAATTATTCAACTTGCAATCAGGCCTGCTGTGTCGAATGCTAGTACTTGGCGTTATCTATTGCGTTGGTGCACGGTGATTTTTTTCTGCAATATTTTGCTGTCTTTTCTTGGATTTTCTGTTTGCACTTAGTCACATATTCACTTTAAGATGTTTTTTTGTTCATGTTTTTGTTTGTTGCGGTTGCACCTGATTCAAGAGCCGAATGGCTCACAGGGCTATACCTAATAAATGAACTTCAACTTGATCTATGTTAGCAAATGCTGTCATTGGTGCTGCTTCGTCTTCCGCGTTGTGGCCAATGATTAAGAGCCCAACGTCGTTATTGATTTTTTTTCCATTGTCTTCTCCCGATCCGCCTCGTCGCCGACAGAATTCATCCCCCAGATGGACAAGCTGTTTGACGAGTCCATCCTCATCGGTTCTGGCTACACGGTCAGGGAGACGCTCAGGTGAGCGAGGAATGAGTCGCGCCTTCAATGAGAGACCACGGCGGGGGAAACCCTCGCCGAGTTTTCGGACACTTGTTTTAGCAGGATCCTGCATTCGGCTGCTTGCATGAATTGTTTTTAATGAGTAAAATAAAGAATCCGACAATACTTCTCATTCATATATCTATCCCTCCACATTCAATAACATGAACATATTTTGTACACATCACGTCAGCATCATTGGTTCAATGCAAGCATACTCTGGACCGGTTTCAACATAAACTTTCGACATACAGTACGAGACACTTATATTTTTCACAATGACGCTAATTGCTTTGTGCTATGCATAATATAATTTTGGACCCGAATCTTAACATTTTACATAATTTACTATATAATTTATAGAAAATTATACAAGCATTGGTTGTACGTATGTATGTTAAACTTCTTTAGCACCGTACATAGCCAACCGTGCTAATCAGAGGTGCACACCTGACCGCTGATCAGGCACCGTTGATAACTTCTTCGTAAACGGGACGATCTTTTCGGCTGGTGGATGGTTAATGATAGGAGGCGTGAAACCCACACCTCGTGGAAATAACCCGAATGCTCATCCGATTAAACGTCGCCTTTGTCCGTCGTCACGCAGGCCGCTCGCCTACAGCACGCTCGCCGACCTGGTGCACCACGTGCGCCAGCACCTGCCGCTGTCGGAGCTGGCGCTGGCCGTGCGCCTCTTCTCACGCAACATCGACGACGAGACTCTGCCCAGCAGCATCCAGACGGTGTCGTGCAAGCTGCTGCTCAACCTCGTGGAGTGCATCCGCTCCCGCAGCGAACAGGAGGGAGGCAACGGGCGCGAGGTGCTGCTGCGCATGCTGGAGGCAAGTGGTGGTGGGCCTCTTAGAGCCGCGATCGGGTCGCTTGGCTACCGGTGGGGTGCAGGAAACTTTCAGCCCCCCCCCCCAATCCCCCTGTGCCGCTGCTGGCAGAAGAGGTGGTCGGGTGGCGGCACCGCAAAGTGCTTGGCGCCTTTGCTGCTTGTTGGAAGAGATCCGCGGTTCGAGCCGAGCGGCCTTCCCTGGTTAAAGCTGCGCGGGGTGTCTTGAGTTAATGATTGTGAAATACGCAATGCCCACTTCGGATCGGACGATGAAATAAGATCCCTTGATGTATTTTGAGATTGAATCGAACTCACGACTTCTGGATTGCAAGCCCCCAGTGTGCCAACCATTGTCTCACTGTGGCAGCATTCCCAAGTCGATTTAACCAACTAAAAATTTGAATTCCCTTCATTTTTTAAACAGATTAAGAAACCCATTGGGTCTTTCCCCTGCAATTATAAATGACTATAACGTGCCTCTGACTTGCATCGTAACGTCCGTGAACAGGTGTTCGTGCTCAAATTCCACACAATCTCCAAGTACCAGCTGCCGGCCATCTTCAAGAAGTGCAAACCGCAGGCGGAGCTCGTTGGGGTCATGCCCGGCAGCTCGGAGATGATGGCGCCCGCCACACCGGGCCCCGGTCCCAGCCCCAGCCCCTGCCCCACACCCACGTCGGTGGCTCCCTCCACGTCCTCCCAGGGCCCCTCCACACCGGGGACCCCCGGGGCGGTGGTCGGCGGCGGCGGCGGTGGCCCGGGGCCTCCGCTACCTTCCGTCGCGTCCACATCGCACCACATGGGGGCGGCGGTGACGACGACGCCGCAGCAGCAGCAGCAGCAGCAGCCGCAGGGAAGTGGCGGTGGCGGTGGTGAGAGAGTGGCGCAAGGTGCCACGGAGCAAGCTGACAAGCAGCCGTTCTGCGTGGGCGACTGCCGCGGTCTGGTGAAGACCCTGGTGTGCGGAGTTAAGACCATCACCTGGGGCATCGGTTCGTGCAAGACACCCGGAGGTAACAGAGACGGTGTTAGGCGTGTGATGGTGGTGAAGGGGTGAAAAGGGGTATCGGGGTGTCGATCCTCAGATTAGTGTCGGGGTAAAACTCAGGCTTGTTAGTGCTTGGGTTAGGGTTATGTCTCGCATGTTTAGAGTTTAAGTGAGGTCTCAGAATGTCAGGGTTATAAGTTTGACTGTTATTGTTTAACGTTATGGTTAGGGTGAGGACTACACTTGTTTGACCTAGAATAAGTTGTAGATCTGCACCGGTTAGGCTTTGCTTGTGGCCTAGGCTCGTGACTGCTAGGATTTCGATGAAGGTGAGGTCTATGCTTGTTCACGGTAGTTTTAGGAAAAACATTGTGAGGTTTGTGGCAAGGCCTAAGTCTGTTAGGGTTCGAGTAATGGCCACATCTGGTTTAGACATAGGGCTGGATGGGGTCTAATTTGGATGAATGATAAAACGTGTGGTTGTCCTTTGTTTCTTTAATTTGGCAGATGCCACCGCTGTGCACAAGCAGTTTCAGCCGAAGGAGACGCAGATATTCATCAAACTGGTGAAATATGCCATGCAGGCTCTCGACATTTACCAGGTTTGTTCTCGGTCTGCTCTTGCACACATTAAGGAGCTCGCAAAATCAGTTTTTTTACATAGCCAAATCTGAACATGCTTTGCATTATCCTTATTTTTCTTAAATATGGGCCAGCCCTCCCCCACCCATTACACCAAATATTTGAGAGTTCATTGTATGTGTTTCCCCGTAGACATTCATTAAATCCACATTGTAAGAGTAATCTACTCGAGTTCACTTTGTGTTTGTGGCTAACAGGTGCAGGTGGGAGTGAACGGGCAGACGTACATCCGAGCCGCCAACTCGCAGACGGTGCGCATCAAGGAGGAGAAGGAGGTGCTGGAGCACTTTGCCGGAGTGTTCACCATGATGAACCCGCTGACCTTCAAGGAGATCTTCCAGACCACGGTTCCCTACATGGTGGACCGTATCGCAAAGAACTACGCGTTGCAGGTCAGTCGTTCTTCCCTCGCCAGCATTCGCATATCCCTCTCATTTACAGATGTCAAACGATCCGAAACGGAGCGTCTATGCTCCTCGCCCACACGTTAACAGGACAACATTAAAGCAATGCTCCCATTTCCTCTGACGCTACAGACGTTACTTTACAGCATGGCACTAAACTGGGACTGCATCGGCACTTGATGTTTCTGTGCTGTGTGCTGATGTAGCTCCGAAAAAAATTACTCAATTGGGATTATACACAGCAACAATCGTCGCCACTAACTGGCAGACTAATGCCCACTTGCAGGTCGTTGCTGAGTCACTTTGTGCCACACAGGGCCAGCTGACACTGGGGGTGCCCTTCAGTCTGTGACATGTTGTTCAGAAACATGTAACACAAAATATGGAACGATAAAATAAGAATGCATGGATCAGAGAACATTCACATTTTTACTATTTATTTTATTTAGCAGGTAAGGCCCACTGAGCTCTATAGCTCTTTTTTCAGAAGGGACCTGACCACAAATAATATCTCAACTAAGTGGTTATCATGCGGAAATTTCTCGCTGCGAAACAATCCAAACGCACGTTTCCAAAACACATGTTTTTGACATCGTGAAAAATAGAAAGGATGATGGTCGAAAATAATAACGGAGCTGGCGGCCAAGGAATGGAACGCGTCTGAGAGTATACTCAGTGGATTGATCACGGCTACTGCTGCTGTATGTTTGTATGTTGAACTTCTTTCACACCTTACGTAGCCAACCGTGCGAATCGGAGGTGCGGGGGAAGGACAACAAACTAAACACAAAAATCAGTTCTCTAAAGAAATTCGTTTTCAATATAGATTTAAACGTCCATAGCTCCAGTGGCTTCCTAATACCATTACTCCCCGGTACCCATGTACGCACAGATTGTGGCCAACTCATTCCTGGCAAACCCCAGCACGTCGGCGCTGTTCGCCACCATCCTGGTGGAGTATCTGCTGGAGCGTCTGCCCGAGATGGGATCCAACCTGGAACGCTCCAACCTCTACCTCAAGCTCTTCAAGCTCGTCTTCGGCTCCGTCTCGCTATTCGCAGCCGAGAATGAGCAGATGCTCAAGGTGAGAGGAGGCGGGGGTGTGGGGTGGCTGTCTGTCTCCTCTCTCTCCTCTCTCTTTGTGACCCCCTTCCATCCTAACCTCACAAAGTAATCATGAGCGTTGTTTTTGAGACTTCGTAACAAATAAAAAATAGCAGCCATGACAAGACGGTATAACAAAGCACAGACTTCTTATTCGTTCTTTCGGTAAAGTCACGTAGAAGGGAAATAATAAAATAATAAAATAATACAAATAAACATTATAAAATAGAAATCTCACGACATTTCGGCCACAACGCAAGCAGCCATCGTCAGGTGGAGAACAGGTCTGTCGGAAAGACAGCGTTTGAATGTCTTGTTGTGGCCGAAACGTCGTGAGAATTGTATTTTATTATGTTTTATTTTTATTATTTTATTATTTCCCTTCTACGTGACTTTACCGAAAGAACCAAGAAGATTAATCCCTGCAGTCATGAAAGCTTTAAATCGAAAAGTACAGACTTGTTATCGTTTGCCCTATCTGTATGGGGTAGAATGTTGCCCCCTTCGCACGCGTGGGTTTTTCTCCAGGTGCTGCGGTTTCCTCCCACTTGTGTAACAAACATTCACTATTAATTGGCTGAAAATCTCTTGCTGCGTTTGCGCGTCCATATGTGTGGATTGCGTGACGTCGCGTGATGCAGTTGCACAAGCGATCTGTATAAAAGCACATTTTAACGACGTTTCACTCTGCGTGCGCGCGCACAGCCCCATCTGCACCGCATAGTGACGAGCGCCATGGAGCTGGCGCAGACGGCGAAGGAGCCATACAACTATTTCCTGCTGCTGCGGGCGCTCTTCCGCTCCATCGGAGGGGGCAGCCACGATCTGCTGTACCAGGAGTTCCTGCCGCTGCTGCCTAACTTACTGCAGGGTGAGACTCGCAGCTCCTAACTTACTCGCCCGTTGGTAGCGATAGTGATGGTAACGATGAAAAAGTCAATTTTGGGTAAGGCCGCGTAATGATCTGGCCAAACTTCCATCGCAAGATCCTGTACACGGTGAGAACCACTGGTCTCTCCTATGCAAGGCCGCGATTGTTTGGAAATCCCTCGAACGTCGCCGTACACCAACAACAGACCTCAACGACCGCTTCAGCCGTTGCCTTTCTCTCCCCTCTCCTGTGCCATTTTATTGAGGGACTGTGTTATCTTGGTGTGTGGTCTGGGACTGTTTTTTTGTTTTTGTTGCCTTGCCCAAACTTGATAAATCGAACTTGGGTAAGCAAATAATTAGGTACTTATTTATGTTCGGTAATTTTCTTAACTTTATCTAATTTTTGCATTCCTGTCGTGTTTTTGCATTGTTTGCTGTTGTAACTTGCTGACCCGCCCATACTGGACATTGTGAAAAGGAGCTTCATAGTTCATCGGAATCCTCCAGTTTAAATAAAGATTCTCATTCTGATTCCCTTCTTTTTGTGCCTGCAACTCCGCCTAGGCCTGAACATGCTGCAGAGCGGCCTGCACAAGCAGTACATGAAGGACCTGTTTGTGGAGCTGTGCCTGACGGTGCCGGTGCGCCTCAGCTCGCTGCTGCCCTACCTGCCCATGCTCATGGACCCGCTGGTGTCGGCGCTCAACGGCTCGCAGACGCTCGTGAGCCAGGGCCTGCGCACGCTCGAGCTGTGCGTGGACAACCTGCAGCCCGACTTCCTGTACGACCACATCCAGCCCGTGCGCGCCGAGCTCATGCAGGTTGGTGTGTGTGCTCGTCGACAACAAACAACCACAAAAGCAACACGTGTTGTTTACAAGGCGTCCGTTGTTCGACAGATGTCACGGAGCTCAGGAATGTTCACCCTACATTTGTGCGTGTGCCCTCTGATTTACGTTGGATGCTCACGATCCCGTAATGTTTAAGAAAAAAAGTAGGGCCATGTGTGCGCTGGTGTCACGGTCCAAATTTTGCCAGGTTTTGCCAGGGCCTCTTTGTCGTATTTATATTTCCTAACTCCGTGCATGGCGCACTGAAATCTTTTGATGAATTGCGCCTTATAAATGTAAATTCTTACTATTTGTAGGGCAGTGTTAATGACGAGTGCGGCGAATTGCTTTTTTTTCGAAATTCACATTTGACCCCGTTTCTCCCGGCGCTTTGCCCGCCGCTCCTCTCTTGACCTTCCTGACCTCCGCCCACCCTTCCGACATCTGCTTCGACGGCAGGCGTTGTGGCGGACCCTGAGGAACCCCGCGGACAACATCTCACACGTGGCCTACCGCGTGCTGGGCAAGTTTGGCGGCAGCAACCGCAAGATGCTGAAGGAGTCGCAGAAGCTGAGCTGGCAGGGCACCGAGACGCAGGGCCCCAGCGTCACCGTGGAGTTTCCCGACTGCAAGGCCTCCATTCAGCTGCCCATGGAGAAGGTGCGTCTCTCAAAACGCCTTTGCTGCCAAGGTCATGGTGAAGAGGTCGCCTTGTGGCCATTGACGTCGATGCCGCCATATCTCGCCATCGCCGTGCGTTTCAGCTGCCACCTGGCAGATTTTTGCACGGTTTAACGGCCGTCCTTCAGTGACCGAAGTTACCGTCGCCATTGTCACCACCTTTTTGTTGAAATCGTTATGTAAAGCCATCATTTTAAAATGAAATCACATGGGTAGGTTTCGGATAAGTATTAACAAAAAAAATCCAAAAGCTTTAATTTCCTTATCCTGTTTCTTTCAGTAATTTGGTACCGGTCCACCTTTAGTGCGTGTCCTAGATGTATACAAATCTCTATTTGAGCTCAAGCCTCCGCAAAGTCACGTGACTTGTATGTGGCCGCCCCCATTCTTAAAGCCTCCTCTCTTCCCACCACACCATACAAAAATAGACTCTGCTCCATGTAGCTCACTTCTGCTCGTGACTTCCTTTCCTTCTCTTCCCCTCTCATCAGCCCCCCCCCCACCCCCCCTTGTCTCTGACATCTTAGCCCAGGTCATTCCTTCTCCCCGTCTTACCCTTGCTGCTTGTCCGGCGCTCCTTTCTTTCTGCTGCTCATTCTTTGCCTGTCTTGGAGACTTCCTTTACATTTCAATATATCCCAAAGGGGAAGCCAGACGTGTGAAACATTGTGTTATGCATTTCCTCTTCGCGACATTTGTGAAAGCAAACTTAACAAGGCTTGGTGTTGTTTGTGATGATTTATTGCCCCGATCAGGCGATTGAGACTGCCCTGGACTGCCTAAAGAGCGCCAGCACGGAACCCTACTACAGGCGTCAAGCCTGGGAGGTCATCCGTTGCTTCCTGGTCGCCATGATGTGCCTGGATGACAGCAAGGTTCCGCTGCATCAGCTACTGGCGCATCCCAGGTGCCGCCCTCCTACAGAGTGTTCACAAAAGCATCGCATCAGTGAAAAAACACCCATGTCTGACATGGCGCTGGGAGGGTTTCATTCATCAGTGGACAGAGAATGGCTGAAATGCATTTAATTTATTTTAATAGGATTTTTGTAAAACAGTATAATCTTCATCATCATTGGTGTACCCATATTTAAGTAGACACAGTGGTGGTGATGGTAAAGTGACCACTGTGTTTGCCTTAACACCCTCCTATCTTATGAAACGGAGCCTAACATCTCATTGGGCTCTTCCTGCTGAAATATATATATAGTCTTAACCATTTTAAGCAGACAATAGTGATGGTGGGTGGTGGTGGCGAATCGCCAGGCTGGCGCAAGTGCTCTGGTGACGTCACCGCCATATAGTGGCGAACGGCGGCTGTCGTTGTTGCTGGTGGTGATGGTAGTGGCGAATTGACCCCTGTGTTTACCGTACCACCCTGCCCGCCGCGCCAGCTTCACGGACAAGCCGGTGCCGTCGGTGATCATCTCGCACCGCTTCAAAGCTCAGGACACGCCGGCGCGTCGCACCTTCGAGCAAGCGCTCACCGGCGCCTTCATGTCGGCCGTCATCAAGGACCTCCGGCCCAGCGCCCTGCCCTTCGTGGCCAGCCTCATCCGCCACTACACCATGGTGGCCGTGGCGCAGCTGGCCGGTGAGGGGGAGCGGTGTGTGTGTGTGTGACGGGCGCCTGGATTCGGTAGGCACCCTCTTGCCGGCTGTGATCCATTGCAGGGCTGCACCTCTACAATTGCGCTCGTTCGGCTGTATATAGGTAAACGACTTAAATATATTTTTTTTATTCCAGTTAGTTTTATTCGTCACGCCGCTACCCCTCCGCCTGAGTGACTCTCAATCGGAAAGTTTGCGAGTTCATTTGCTAGTTGGGGGGTTGACTCAGCCCCATCATCTCTCCCTCACGGGTTGTCCTAATCAGAGGCTGGCCCGCATGCCACAGTAATGTGGAATGTCCACCATTGGTTCGGAGCTGTAAACGCGATGAGCATCGCCTCAATGCTCATTTGAGCAAGAAATCGCTTCGACTTTTTTGCGACTGCTCCTCCTCCTGTGCCCCCCCCCCCCCCTGTCCCTGCCGCCCCAGGCCCGTTCCCGCTGGGTGCCCACAAGCCCGACTCGCAGCTGAGCACGCTGATGTTCCACGGCGAGGAGGGCGGCGCGCGTTGCATGGACCCGCTGGTGCTGGTGGACGCCATCGCAGTGTGCATGGCGTACGAGGAGAAAGAGCTGTGCAAGATCGGCGAGGTGGCGCTCGCCATCATCTTCGACGTCGCCTCCATCATCATGGGCTCCAAGGAGAGGGTACGCGTGCCACTCCCTGGACACTGTTCCCCCCCACTCCCCAGACAACTCATTCCGCTCACTCGCCGACCACCGTGTTTTCTCCACCCCGCAGGCGAGCCAGCTGCCTCTCTTCTCGTACGTGGTGGAGCGCCTGTGCGCGTGCTGCTACGAGCAGGCGTGGTACGCCAAGCAGGGCGGCTGCGTGGCCATCAAGTTCCTCATGGAGCGCCTGCCTCTCGCCTGGGTGCTCCAGCATCAGTACACCTTCCTCAAGGCCCTGCTCTTCGTCATGATGGACCTCACCGGGGAGGTCAGTGTATCGGTCTTTTGCTGCGAGGTGGCCGTCAGGAGATGGCAAATCGACCAGGGGTCAGCAACCTGCGGCCCCGGAGCCGCATGCGACTCTTCAGGGACTGCCTGGTGGCGTTATTTATTGAGGATCGTCTCGTGTTCACGTGCATTGCGGCTATTGAAATATTGAGTTTTTTTTATAGAATTTGACAAAAATGGCTGCTCTTGTTATTTTGGTTCCTGACCCCTGCAATAGAGCAGTGCGATGCTGATGAGGCCTAATTATGGTGGTGACAGTTTGGCAGTGTAGAATAGAATAAATTTCGACTGATGATCCTTGATGAGGGCAGAAGAGAGTAATGTGACTATGCTCTCCTGATGATTCGTAATAATGGCAAAACCCAAATATACGAATGCTACGCGATCGCTCACTGACCTGATGAGGGTCGCGTGGTTGTGGCGTGCTGATGATTTGCAATACTGGGGAAGCCATTATTTAATTGTGGTGTGGAAGAGCATGACTGTTTCGCTAACAATTCCAGTCTGGTGTCCGTTTCTCACCATCTCCATGCTGCGTCTCTGCTTCTCTCATGCCACCTGTGACAGCTCAGCTTCTCTGGTGCAGAATTTGCATCGAACAATGACCATTGTCCGGTAGAGGAGGGGATCCTTGCTGATTTTCTTCTGCCAGTGCAGCATTAGTTCAAGCAAAGGGCGGCTCTGCTCACAAGAAATCGAGTGTCAAGGCCAGGGCCAGAGTTTCCTTGCGTTGAACCAATGCCGCAGAAGTTGTGCGCTCCCAGAAGGCCGTGTGTAAAAATAAACTTTCATAATGTCAGAGGTGGGCCCTCAGGGGCCTGCAAGACCTTCTCTGCTTGCCTAGATATTGTCAGAATCAGAAAATTATATTTTTATGATTTTCATTAATGCTTTATGTATTCATACTCTTTGTATGCATAAAGTTCGTTCCCATCAGTCTATTAACGTCATTTCATTGATACTCCCTCAGTTGCACTACTTTAAATTAGAGCCAATCAGATTTTCCACCTGTGCTGTTTCCGCCTCTCAGGGTGAAAAATATACCCTGAGGCCTTCAGAATGTCGAGTGAATCCCCTCTGCTGTTAAAGCAAATGTGGACGATGTTGTTGATTGTCATCTTCTTTAACCAATCAGATTTCGAGTTTGCCATGTTGGGCGTATTCTTTGACACGCCGGAGCCTTCTAGCTGGCCTAGCCGCCTATGTCAGCATTTTTCGTGTGGCGTGATCGGAGGGCCAGTTAGCTAACTAAAGTAAAACTAGCTAGCACGTAACGTAGCATCATCTAAGATTTATTAAATCTTGCTTTCCTTACGTTTAAATTTTTAGATGTTGTGCTTTAGATTTGTTTTGTTTGAGGAAGCCTGTTGAATCCTGATTGTTATTTTCGTTTTACGGCATTTTTGCTTGCTTGGTGGTCGTATGAGTAGATGTGACTGGTTGTTGTGAGTTTGTTCCTGTTTCTTTGGTAATGACATTGATTTGGGCTATGCGATGTCTATTTGTGATACAGCATCCTGTCATACTGCGTAATAGCGGTACATCCTTGATGGTTTCAGTCACCATTTATTCATGTCTCTGCAATCAGTGCATTGTAACTCTCATAGGTGTTGAGCCTCGTGTTAAATCACTTTATTCCACACGATAAAGGTTACTGTCACTGTGAATAACGGGTAGTTACGTCGAATGACTATGGCCTATAGCCCTAGTGTCATGGTGAGGTTATTCGAAGGCGATTTAATTGCGGGAGGATAGCGCTGAAACCCTAGGTGTAAAATACACACCTAGAATAATGTGGAGGTGCGGCTATGCGATGGAGGCGTGATTTTCCGCTTATCGATTCCATAACTCGGAAAGCTCTCTCGCCGTGCGCCAGAGGTCGCTACCGGGTACCCGATACCCGTACCCTACCCGATACCCGGCTACCCGTACCCGGCCAGGTACGGGTAGCCGTTTGCGACCCTGGTGCGGCCGGGTACGGGTATGGGTAGGCCGTGAGTCACTGGTGAGTAGCCGTTTGTCACTCATTTCGGATAGGGTACGGGTACGGGTAGGGAACGGCTACCCGTACCCGGCCGGGTACGGGTACCCATTTGCGACCCTGGTGCGGCCGGGTACGGGTAAGGAATCAAAACCTGTTTGCGACCTCTGCCGTGCGCGGCTACTAACCTACCGCCGCCCCCTCGCCACGATCTTCCTCTCGCAGGTGTCGAGCGGCGCCGTGGCGATGGCGACGGCGACACTGGAGCAGCTGCTGGTGCGGTGCGCGTCCCCGCTGCGCGACGACGAGCGCACGGCGGAGCTGGTGGCCTCGCAGGCCAAGGCGCTGCACGCGGCCACGCACGAGCTGGTGCGCGAGGTCACCTCGCCCAACCAGACGGTGCGCGTGCAGGCCATGCGCTCGCTGCAGGTGCTGGCGCGCGCCACGGGCAAGAGCGTCGCCGACATTATGGAGCCCCACAAGGAGGTGCGTGCGTCACCCACTCACCTGGTGAGGTCTCATTATGGCCGAGAACCGGTCGGGAAGGTTGTCATAAACTGTGATGGGGAAAGCTGTCTGATGTTTGGCTTGCGTTAGGGTTCCGGCGTTTGATGCGTAAGCGCCTCTTGCGGTTTGTTTTCCATCTCAAACGTCCGTTGGTGATTGAGATCGAAATGTAGAAGCATCGGTATGGAGTCCTGCAGCAGGCCATGTTCACTGCCATTTCCCATCTGTGTAAACAGCACAGCGGGAGGAATATGAACCTTTCTGAAAGTGCCGGTACGCGGGTTTGGTGTGAATTGTATCGGCCCAGATTGATCACGGGTGGAGACCGTTTGCTGTGGCTGTATCAGTTGCAATTCCTTCGTTTATACTGCAGGTGCTCCAAGACATGATCCCACCCAAGAAGCATCTGCTGAAACATCAGCCGGCCAACGCGCAGATCGGCCTCATGGAGGGCAACACCTTCTGCACGACGCTTCAGCCGCGCCTCTTTACCATGGACCTCACCATCATGGAGCACAAGCTCTTCTTCTCCGAGGTGTGCCAGCGGCCGCTCTTGCACCGGCAAGGAGTGTACGTTGCGGTTATTGGGAAGGAGGAGAAACGCAGTGAGGTTATTGGGAAAGAGAGTGGGGTGCAGTTATTGGGGAAAGAGTGCATTGCAATTGTTGGAAAGTACATTGTAATGCGGTTATTGGGAAGGGGAGAGCACAGTGCAGTTCTTAGGAGTGAGGGTGGAGTGCGGTTATAGGGACGAAGAGAGTAGTGTGGACTGTTCTCTCTACAACTTTCGTGCGATTATTGGAAAGGAGATCACATTACGGTTATCTGGAAAGACCTGGCATTGCGGTTTGTCGGAAGGAGTTTACCGTTGCGGTTATCACTGCGGTTATTGGGAAGGAGGACAGCATGACCGTTCTCTTGGTTCTAGATTTGAAGCTTTCGTGACTGCAAGGATTCATACTCTTAGTTTTTTCGGTAAAGTCACGTAGGTAAAAAATGAAATTAAAATGAATAAAAATAAAATTATATAAATCACGACGTTTCGGAGGCAACACAAGTCTCCGTCATCAGGTGGGACCGTCACAGCGAGATTTGCTGTTTTATTCATTTTAATTAAATTTTTTACCTACGTGACTTTACTGAAAAAACTAAGAGTATGTTTTCTTGGTTCCCTCATTGTACTTCCCTCCCTGATCGCAGCTGCTCACCCTGTGCGAGGCCGAGGACGCTGCCCTCATGAAGCTGCCCTGCTACAAGTCGCTGCCCTCCCTGGTTCCCCTGCGCATCGCCGCGCTCAGTAAGTGTCGTGCCATGTGCCTGCTCAGCTGACTCCGCGCACAAGATAAATATTCCTCACCTCCCGACACCGCTATTGCCTTAACAAACCGTTGAAGCACGAGCAGCCACCACCGTTGTCATCGCACCGTCGACGTTGACTGCTGCCCCTTGCGCTCCCATCGGTGCAGAAGCGCTGGCGTCGTGCAACTACCTGGCCGAGGTTCGAGAGAAGATCATCGCGGCCCTCTTCAAGGCTCTCAACTCCAGCAACGACGAGCTGCAGAAGGCGGGCGAGTCGTGCATGGAAAAGGTGTCGTGTGTTTCCGCTCCGAAGCGTTCGCCCCCCACCCCTACCCCCCCCCCCTGCTGAGTTCACGTCAAGTTAATTTCACATGGCCCGCACCGCACGTGGCCGCATGTGTTTCCCTGCCATGTTTACCACGACTGTACCAACCTCTATTTAAAGCTTTCGTGACTGCAGGGATTCATCTTCTTGGTTCTTTTGGTAAAGTCACGTAGAATGGAAAGAATAAAATAATAATAATTTAACATAATATAATGTTTTATTTATAATATTATGTTTTATTTTTATTATTTTATTATTTCCATTTTACGTGACTTTACCAACATTTTTAGAATAAATACTAGCAAGTTACGACTGCGATAGCCTTGCCGTGTAAGAATGGTACCAATACGAAATGTGCTGAATTATTATACAGAGGTGGAAGGAAACATAGCCAACTCTATGGACCCGTTCGTGTGTCTGTGTGTTGACCATTGCTAGTTCCTGGAGGGCACAACCATCGGTATGGATCAGATCCACAATCTGATGCGGCCGCTGCTGATGCTTTTGGGCGACTACCGCAGCCTGAGCCTCAACGTCGTCCGTCGCTTCACCTCCGTCACCCGCCTCTTCCCCAGCTCGCTCAACGACAAATTCTGCGACCAGATCATGGTACGGCGGTGACACTTGAGCTGTGCTCGTGCGTATGTGCTGGCGTGTGTGAACGCTTGTGTGTGTGTGGGTGGATCTTCCCTGCCAGCGAGCCTCAAAGTGTATCTAGCCCGGTACAATCGCTGTTGTGACATCATTGCCACTTAGTGGCGAATGCCGATTGTTGTTTATGCCTGCACATGCACGCGTGTGAGAGCATGTGTGTGCTTGTGTAGCGGTAGTGTAGCGGTTAACGCGCTGCGCTATGAACCCGGCGACCCGGGTTCGATTCCCACTCACAAAAAACACCAGGGACGATTATCTGAACTGGTCCTGGGCCTCCCCTAGGTCGACTCAGCCTGAAATGAGTACCTGGCGCGGTGTGTAAACATCGTCACTGGGGAGACAAAGGCGGTCTGGCGTGGTGCTGGCCACCCACCCCCTCGTGTACCGTTCCGGCCTTCATAGGTGCTCGCTAACAGCACGTTGCCCCTACAGTCTGTTAATGCTACACGGGGGATCTTTTGTTTGTGCATGTGTATGCCAGTCTGTATGTACGTGCGTAAATTAACATATGTATACGCGTGTGTGAATATATCTTCATACGCGTGTGGGAGTGTAATTGTACGTTGGCCTAATTTGTGAATGAGCGCTCATGGGTTCATTCAATGAATCGTTTGGGAAAGTGAGTTGGTTATCTCTCGTATCCGTTAACTTGTCTGCACGTGTACACGTGTGTGTGTGAGCGCGCGCGTGTCTCCCATTGAAGAAGAGTGGAACGCAGTGTTTAGCGCACTGCAAGGTCGATTTCCCCTCACTGCTAACATATCAGCGATGAATATCTGAACCTGTGCTGGGCCACTCTTAGGGCGACCCAGCCTTCAATGAGTACCCGGTGCAACAAAGGTGGTCGGGCGTGGTGCTGGCCACAGTACCCCCTTCGTGCACCGTGCCGGCTTTGATAGGTGCCTCACTAACAGGGCTTGCCCTAACGGTTTGTGTCGGCGATACGAAGGGACCTTGTCTTTTGTGTCTCCCACACAGCAACACCTGCGGAAGTGGATGGAGGTGGTGGTGATCGCTCACAAGGGAGGACAACGCAATGACGGATCGGTGAGCCGGCTGACGGGCGCCACTCGCCACCACTCATCCACATGATCTCTTGAAATCTGACCAAAAGCTTTCACTGGTTACAGCCTTTGGAGCGGTTTTGCCGGTTTCGCCGGATCGGCCCGGGACTGCCGGACAATGTTTGGAAGCGTGCCGGATGATCGATGATCGACTGTATTTCAACTTGTTGCATGTGGTGTCACCTCCTTGTAAAGATCTGGGAAATGCTGGATCAGCGCTTGTTTATATGCCACCCCATGTGTGTGTCCTTTTGGTTCATGTTATAGGTTGTTGCGTATAATCCCTTATAGGTCTGTGTGTTTTAATGTGTTATGCATAGCATGGCACAAGCGTCGTAGTGACGTCACCGCCACTTAGTGGCGAATGGCGGTTGTTGTTGTTGTTACATAGGTCCTGAGTTTTTTGTGTTTTATATGTCAGTGTGTTTTATTTATTTTTAGTCCTTGTGTATAGTTGCTTTTCATTGGCCATAGGAAATGAGTCCACGTATGTGTGTGTTACAATCATGATGTATGATATGGTAGAGGTCTCTGTCTATTTATTGTGTGTTGTGGTTCCTTGTATAGAATGTGTAACAGGTCCTCGTGTTGAGTGCTATGATTCCTTGTGTGTAGTGTATTATAAGGTTTTCGTGCTTCATGTGTTACATGTCCACACATGTTGTATGATGCCTTCCATCTGTTTGACAGGGTTGTTGGCCCAGTGACTCCTGACCCCTACCGTGTGATACTTTCACCGGTGCTGTTTGCAATGCACCTGTGTGTGTGTGTGTGGGGAGCGGTAGTGTAGTGGTTATCACACTGCGGTACAGACACGGCGACCAAAATTCGACTCACGATCAACACCAGTGACGATTAACTGAACCGGTCCCGGGCCTCCCCTCGGTCGACCGAGTTCCAAATGAGTACCTGGTGCTGTGCGTAAACATCGTCGCGAGGGAGACAAAGGCGGTCGGGCGTGGTGCTGGCCACCCACCCCTCGGTGTACCTTGCCCACCTTCATAGGTGCTACTCGCTAACAGCACTTGCCCCAACAGTCTGTTGAGGCTGTGCGGGGGGGGGGGGATCTTTGTCTTTGTGTTCCCCGTTGATGAATGTGCCTGGCGGGGGCACCACCCTTACCCGTGCCATGATGTTTGTGTCGTTTTCTCTGGCTCAGCCTGCCATGGAAGGTCTGGAGATGACGCTTGGGTGTGTCAGCCCGGCAGCGTTAGCTCCTGGCAATTATGGGATTTCATTGGTACTGCTGGCGTGTGCCGCATTCGTCGTTTTATTCGTTTACCGGTTGTCCATTCCACCGATGGGTCCTTTCCATTCGTCACGTGTTTATTATGATTATTATCGTTATCGTGGTGTGTATCCAGTGTCGAACGTGTGTTCGCATTCACGCGTTTTTGGTTTTCTTTCACGGATTGAGCAATGACGTTAAAGCAGCCGGAACGAGTACACGGCACCTTACGTTTTAGAGGTGTGGCGATTCACCCGCGAGCAAGCGGTGCCGTGAATTGTGGCGGATTTCACGATCAGGATTGCGTCTGACAATCAGTTAATTTTCCCATCGCCCTGGGTGTAAAGGTTAAGGTGCAACCCTGCAATCGTTTGCCCACGCATAGACAGCACCCCTAAGGGACCTCCTCCTCCACACTGGCCAGATTTCTTGGAAGAGGTGGGAGGACGTTACTCCACGACACGCGACCTGCCAAACGATTAACCACGACGTGCCCATTTGCACTCCTCCGCTGAGCATGCGGCAGCCAACAATGGCTGCAGAGGTCAGCCAATGTATAAGACCACTCATGAATTGGCTTGAAAGCATCTTCATATCTAGAGGACTGCAGAGCTTCAGCTTTTGTTGCTCGTGCCAGCTCACAGCCTGGCCGCTGCTTTCCAGCTCACGTCTGTAGTAGTATGTATAAACCTAAACATAATTCCTATTCGAATAGATTAAACGTGATGATTTTTACGCACGCGATTTGGTGTGCTTGTGTTGCGGGGCTTGAGAAACAGTCCTCGCGTAAAATCATGTCATTACTTCTCTAACGTTGCAAGACAATGTTTCACCATTCCACACGGAGCCATTTGATGGAAAACAAAACATTTGTGAACTAAAAATAATTGGCTCGACACCCACAGAGGACGTTTGTCCACACAAATGAGGGACGTAGTTTTTTATTAATAACGAGTTGGTATGACTGAACTCTGAAACTCTATAGCGCAACTCACCGCTCGGCCAGTTGTTTTAGTCAAGTATTGCTCACTCCTATGGAGGTATTTAGTTTTTTGGTGTTTGTATTTTCAGTTTGTTATCGGGTCACTATCATCACCATGAGCTGCTGTGGAACACTCATCATCATCACCATCATCATCATCACAAACGCTACCAAGACGACCATCATCATGGACACTATCTCCAGCGAAAGCATCAGCATGTGACTGCAACCACGAGCATGATTATTATTATCATCACCACCTTCAGCCATGTTCTGTCCACTGCTGGATGAAACCCTTCCAACACCCTTGTCCATCCTTTCCTGCTCCTGCGCATGAGAGCTGATGTCATTACTCCATCTCCACGGTGCTTGGTCTCTCAAGACTTGTTCCTACCCTATTATCCAATGATGCCTACGGAATCATTTTGACAGTCAGTTTAGTATGTGCGCGATGGTGTGAAAGTCTGCGTTAGTGTACGTGTGAGAGTGTGTGTGCGTGTTTTTGAGAGAATTTGTGTGCAGTTGTTTTCAACGTGCAACATGCATAGACGCAGAATTTATACAGCCATGCTCGCCTATATTATTTATTAATTAAATTGTACAGGAAAATAACTGTTCAGTGTACTACCCCCCCATAGATGTTGCTCTCTGCAACAAAGTGACATCAGATGTCTAACATTAAAGGGATGTATGATGAAACTTGAACCAAAACCACAATTCCTGAACCCACCTATCCAGAATTGTTCATGCACAAGGAAGTGTCTCTCCATCCCTGGACACTTTCATGGCATGAGCGCACCGTGCCAGACTCGGGTGCCAGTTCCACTAGGGCCTCTGCCAGATCCCACAACATCGGTGGCCCTTGCAGAAAGTGAGTGAAGTGAGATGTTTCTTTTAGTTGTTTGATGCAAGCCAGCAACAAAAAAGTTCCTTTCCCCGCATGAGAGTCGCAAGACGTTCATCCCCTGCCATCGTCTCTGACAAAACCGCTCGCTGGACGTGGTGCATTTCCATCATTGCATGCACTACGTGTTCTGAATGCACTTTATACCCTGTACGGTGATAACTTAAGAAGAGATCATAATGAGTAAAAGAGAATAGGCTTGACACTTTCCGGCAATAATAGAGGAGGTGTTAAGATGTTCGAACGCCAAATCAACACCTGTTACAAGGCATCGTGTCTCCATTAACCACATGCTTGTGGTAAAACATGCAAACAAACGCGATTTGCTAATTATGCATTGTCCTTGGATCTGATTGGCCTACACCAGAGACCGCCTCCTTCATGGCCTTGTCTCACCGGTGTTAGACCAAAGAACGCCAAAAGGCACACGGTACGACCCAAACACGTGTCGGAGAGCCGTACGGCGCCGCCGCGGAAACCCACGCAGAGCGGTGAAATCAAAACTTGCGGGTTGGTGGCTCGTGTTGTCTTCAATAACCGGATGTTGGCTTACAGCGACCCTGACACTCTCCCGACGAATCGTCGTGGCGGCTCTGTGCGTTTTTCCGTGGCAGGAAATGAAGATTTGCGCGGCGATCATCAACCTGTTCCACCTGATACCGGCGGCGCCGCAGACCCTGGTGAAGCCGCTGCTGGAGGTGGTGATGAAGACGGAACGTGCCATGCTCATCGAGGTCCGACCCCCACCAGCATTTATCAAATGGGGGGCGGGCTGGGGGGGTGGGTGAGAGGGACGGGGGGAGGGATTGCGGCTCCACCAGCCAGTCTCTGTGTTGTTACCCTCAAGTACGTGGTTGTTTGTGTATGCTCGTGTGTTCTTTCTACACGGTGTTTTTGTCTAAAAGTTGGAGAGGTTTACCAGCCCCTTGCACCCATCCATCTCCTTCCCCCGTCGCCCTCCCCTGTCACCCCCCCCCCCCCTCTCTTCTGTTTCACTCCCGGCTCCTCCATCTCTCTCCCCTCTCCTCCATCTCCAATCCCCGCTCCTCCTTCTCCCTTCCCTCTCCCCCGTCTCCCTTCCCTCTCCTACGTCTCCCTCCTTTCTCCTCCAGGCTGGTAGCCCATTCCGGGAGCCACTCATCAAGTTCTTGACTCGCTACCCAGCTCAGACGGTGGAGCTTTTCATGATGGAGGCCACGCTGAACGACCCGCAGTGGAGCCGCATGTTCATGGTGTGTGTATGTGTGTGTGTATGTTTGTTCTTGTCGGGACCGGTAACGTAGTGGTGAGTGCACCTGCACTACGAACGTGTAACTGACCGGTCCTCGGCCTCCTCTTTGGCGACTCAGCCTTAATTGAGTACATGGTGCGGTGAATAAACATCAG